TTTAACACTTTTGATTTCCAGTAGAGTTGTTAGAATATTGCTTATGCAGTAACTATATTTTTTAAGGCTTAAAAATAAAAGGCTTACAGACACAGGGGTATCTGTGTTTTGTGTCAGAGTTCATGTAAAGAGCTTATATTGTTGAAGCTACTCAGCTCCAAAGGAAAAATGAGAAAAGGGGGCAGGTATGTTTCAGTGGAAGTATAGGATAGAGAAACCATCCTCCTACCTATTCAGAGTATGCATGTTGTTGTTGTTTGGTCACTAAGTCCAACTCTTTTGCGACCCCATGGACTGTAGCCCGCCAGACTCCTCTGTCCATGGGATTTCCCAGGCAAGAATACTGGAATGGGTTGCCATTTTCTTCTCCAGGAGATCTTCCCAACCCAGGGATCGAACCTGCATCTCCTGCCTTGACAGGCATGTTCCTTACCACTGAGCCGCCAGGGAAGCTCAGTGTATGCCAAGCCATTTGTTAATAACTTTATTCATCCCATACTTTTTATTTTCTGGTTATCAACACTCAGATTAGCTCCCGAGGGGCTTAATCTCGTGCTTAAAATAGTACATAACATGACAGCATGGCTAGATAACTATTTCAGTGGTAATTAAAAATGTATTTTCCTTTGCCAATAGTTCTTATTTAATCAAGACAGATTCAATCTGTGAACCAGAGAACTATTCTGGGGCTTTGATTAAAAACCACAGAAGATTTTAATCTCTTTTCTGCAAATACCCTAAAACAGGAACAATGCTGTTTTTATAAATCTGAATCAAATGCAATTCAGGTACTATCCCCGGATTAATTTTTATAGTTATAAAGAACACATGTGCATAAGAACAAAGATTGGGTGGTGCCCCTGTGAAGCAAGAAGGGAGAGCATGAAGTCCCTGTGAACTCTGGGTGGTATCTTTGAGTTGACGTTTCAGAGGCCACACTGGCTTCCCTACGGACTCACTCTTGGCTGGGAGTGGATTTCCACAAGTGCCTTTGATTGCAGACAAATCAGGCTTCACAGCCACTGATTCAGCTGCCAGATCCTGGACCGAGGACGAGAGGCCCTCCCTCCGCCGCTGCTCGCCACCCAGGCAGTGCATGTTGCCGGAAGACCAGCATGGGACCTGTGCCTCGTGCCCTCGGCCCCCAGCTGCCCCCGCCCCTCCCCCCTCACCACACTCTGATGCCTGGCAGTTCTAGCAAACTGCTCCCATTCTTTGTTGGAAGGGCCGTGGTGAGATTTTGCTTCTTTTTGTTTTGTTTGTTTAAAATTAAAATTATTTTCTTCTGCTGGACAGTATTTAATAGAGCAGGATGTTGGGTTATCTGCTAGAGTACAGTACCAAAAAAACACATGCATAAGAACAAAGTTTGGGTAGGACCTGGAAAATGGTGAGGGGAAAGGAGTGGATAGGTTCGTGCAATTAATTATTTATGACCTTTTATTTTGATCTCCAGAATTCTTTCATAAACAATATTTTTTAAATAAACTTTGCAGGAAAACAAATCACCCCATTACCTCCAAAACAGGGCTACTGGACTGGCAGTTGTTGTTTGAGACAACATAGGCATGAAGCAGTGACATCCTGTGTATCTTTTCTATTTAAAAAAAAACACATTATTTTTGTCTGTGCTGGGTCTTCGTTGCTGCGCGTGGGCTTTCTCTTTTTATGGTCCATGGGCTTCTCGCTGCGGTGGCTCTCTTGCTGGCAGAGCACGGGTTCTAAGGTGTACAGGTTCGGTAGTTGTAGTGTATGGACTTGCTCTGAAGCATATGGGATCTTCTTGGACAAGGAGTGGAACCCATCACCCCTGCACTGGCAGGCAGATTCTTAACCACTGGACAACCAGAGAAGTCCATATCTTCTAAGTTTAAGGTTTTAAACCAAAAAAAAAGAAATTTCTAGCTATGGTCTTGTTTTTCTCCCTAGTTTCTCCCTTCCTTGTTTTACCAATGTGTTTACATTTCATGTAAAAAACATGGCCAGCTCTCCAGGAGCCAATGATCTGGTTTTATGATCCTATTTTAAAATTGAGGACACTAAGTCTCAGAGATGGTCACAGCATCTTGGCCCTCTAAAGGCATCTTTGAGGGCAGCCCTTTTGCCCTACCTCCAATCCCACCACTCAGCAATAGGAGAAGTTAAAGTCATGACCCAAGTTATGTACTTTGTAGGTGGTGGAACCAGAACTCGAGCGTGCTCTTCCACCATATACTTCCCAACCATCTTAGTACCTGCTTGGGATCTTCCTGCCTATGTGGGGGAAAAGCAGCCCAAGAATGAGTTCCTGGTAATTAAAGGGCTAAAGCCATCTAGATAACAAATGTACCTTTGGGCTTACTTCCTGGACCTGCTGAAGACCTCTGTATAGATATGCCATTCAGGAAGGCTCTTGAGCTTCATCTTCCCTGGTTCTGGGAGTGGCCCTACCATGTGCATCTGACCTGTGTACCCCTGGGTGGGCACTTAATCTCAGCAGCCCTTGGCTATGGATAAACCTCTCCATTTTTCCTTCGTTCATTCCAAGATTCTGACTCTGGAAAAGGGTAGGGAAGGATGTGCACTGTGAAATCCTGGCTGCATCTTGGAACCTGGCAAATCGTCCAGTGATTTTTTTCTTATCATGAATCTCATTTTTCCAAATGTGTTTGAGACCAAGGTGTAGCACATCCCTTCACAAATGTTAACTCCTGGCTGAGGTCATTCACCAGTAGTTTTTTGTTCTTGAGGGTCCTGGGATGACATCTCTGGCCAAGAGAGAATCTCCCAACTGCTTCTCCAAGTCTTGGTTGGTGTTTGTATTCTCCTTTCAGTCAACAAATATCAGAATATAATTTGTGATACTCAACTTCAAGAACAAGCTTGATAGAAAGCTTTCATTACTAAATACAGTAACTTATTCTTTGTGCTTGTCACCTTTGATTGCTTTTAAATGACTCCTTGTGGAGACTCTTTTATCTCTACCATTAAAAACCCATATCTGGTTAAAGGCTGAAAAATAGCAGGTATATTTCTTTCTAACTGCCTTGCATTCACTTGGGGTGGAGATGATTAGAGGCACAGTTAATCGTTGGTAACATAAACCCTAAGATTGGAGCACATGGGTTCTTTTGCTACCCAACAGAGTGCTTTTGTGGCTGGTTTTTAAGCACAGACACATCTTTATTTTTACATACAGAGCTTTCTTTGACATACAAGCCAAAATTTTACTTGAAGCAACCTGAATACTAAGAGAGTATCTGGTTTTTCTGTTTGTTTGTTTAAAGCACTGAGCATCACAGAGCATCCTTACAGAACAATATATTTACGTTCCATATAAAACAGCTGAACATAGGCAATTAAGTAAGTAGTAAGCACAACATGCTTTTAATATTTGCTTAAAATATTTTGAATCCTTGGTGTTCTTAACCATTCTGGAGTCTCTAACACTGAAGTTTTGAAATCTGGACCAAAAAGGATAAAAAATATAGTGGTTTTTGTGTTTGTTTGCTTTAACTGCAATTTCAAAAATGTTTACGTGTATATGTTTGCTCCAAAAATAATTTAAAATGGCTGATCAGAAATATATTCAGTAATGTATGTACAAAATAGAGATCAAGGCAAAGGTGGAATATGTAGCAAAATAAAAGCTAAAGATAAGGTTACTTATCTAATGTAACTTATGAATGTTTCATATAAGGTTACTTATGGCCTTCCCTGGTGGCTCAGATGATAAAGACTCCGCCTGCGATGTGGGAGACCTGGGTTCGATCTCTGGGTTTGGAAGATCTCCTGGAGAAGGGCATGGCAGCCCACTCGAGTATAGTTGCCTGGAGAATCCCCATGGACAGAGGAGCCTGGCAGGCTAGTCCGTGGGATCGCAAAGAGTCAGACACGACTGAGCGACTAAGCACAGCACAGCACAGTGGGCATGAGACGTATACCCGAATTTAAGTGAAAACTCTACTATTGATTATAATTCACATCTCTTCATTTGCTCTAGTGTTCTTAACTGTACCCAAATAACTCTAAATTTTCACATACTAATTATCTGCATTTGCAAATTAACATATCCAGTTATATCCTTCCTGAATGTTCCTGCCCTCTAGTCATTTTACTTCCAATTAGCATGTCATCCATCAGAGGTTGATTAAGAAAAAAGAGATGTGTGAGTCATCCCAACCCGTGTTCTTTCTTGATTAATAGAAGGTAGTAGGGAGTGACAGTTGACGGGAATAGGGTGGAGTAGGGCAACTGGATCTTCTTAGAACTGTTTGGGAGAAGATAAAGAAGAAATACTTAAAATTTGTGATTTTTAGTTGTCAGAGTCATCTCACAAGTGAAAGAGTTCATATTGACATTGAATTAAGGCAAGCTTTCAGAGAATGCATACTGTTTCTTAATATTGAACATTTCCCTAATATATTTAAAATAGATAACCAACCTACCATATAGCACAGGAAACTATACTCAATGTCTTGTAATAACCTATAAGGGAAAGTAATCTGAGAAATATGTATAACTGAATCATTTTGCTGTGAAACTAACACATTGTAAATCAACTCTGCTTCAATAAAGAGAGAGAGTATTACTAAAGTTTTATTAAAAGAATATGAGAAAAATACAAACTGATATGTAAAGTATAAAATATGTAAAATATCTATAGATAGACAATAAAAGTGGTGTATAAAACAATAGTTATATTGAGCTAAGATTGAACTTTTTTACTTTTTTTTTCTTCTCACAGTATTCTTTGATGTTTTGTCATGATAATATAATTGAAGGGGAAGAAAGGAGATGAAAAAAGCTTTCACATGAATTTTACTTTTTTACAGATTTACTCATTACCTTTTAAAATGCAATTTGTTTTTTAAGTCTATTATTTGCCGACTCAAGGGAGATCACCAAAATTATTTATCCTGCCACTAAAAATTGTATTTGGGGGATATTTTTTCATAGAAATTTATACAAAAAAATTCTAATGTTGTTTCTTTCTTCTTCCCAATCATTGTTTTTCTTAGGGATTGTTATAGGAGTCTTGGTTCGAGAATACAGCAAGCTATCTAACCTGGAGAAATTCTACTTTTCCTTTCCTGGAGAAATTCTGATGAGAATGCTGAAACTCGTCATTTTACCATTAATTGTATCCAGCATGATTACAGGTACCTTTAGAAAACTGATGTTCTCTGTGATTATTTAAGGAGCCATCTAATCACCTGAGTTTTCTTTTCTTATTAAGGAAAAAATCAAAATGCATCTAATATACCATACACACACATATACCTCCCTTGGAAAGTATATATTTGCTTGAGTGGAACTATTTCATTATTCACAAACTGGCATTGCTCTGCCTGTAGCACTGTCAACCACAGCTCAGATCTTCGTTTGACCAGCTGTAGAATGTCTTGTGAGGAAGAGGGGAAAAAAAAAAGCCTATTTGGTCACTGCCATGTCAGCCAGCATCCTCAGGCAAAATGTGATTGTCAGTTTGGATCATGTTTTCTGTAGTTGACTCATTTCTCTCTCAGCTGCAGCCATCCTGCCTCTACCCTTTCAGCCTGCAGGGTCCTCTGTCCCCTCCTCTCGCTCACTTCCACTCCTCCACAGAACTCAGAACCTGCTACATACATGCCCTGGAAATCTGCCCAGGGGCCAGTAATCACATGCTGTGGGAAAGGTTTAATGACAGGTTGGTACCATATTTCAAAAGCCTGGTGTTTTTAAACCTGAACTTATGACATACTTGAATTTGGAAATGCTTTTTCCCTTATGAATTATTATGTTGCAGAGTATCTTTATAGCACACACTCCCTTATGTAGGTAGAGATTAATTGGCTTTATAAAAATGTCATTTGTCTGGGTATGGTTAGCTCCTCTGTGCCTTCCGTACTTTCTTGTCTTTTCCTCATTCTGGCAGTAGGTAAAATGCAGCAATTGCTAATGTTGCCAACTTGAAAATCACAGTTTTATATAACCATGTAATTAGGGTTCTTGACATACCCTCTTCTAGAACATTTTTCTCTACTGCCACTAAAGAGATGTAGGACTGATCTCTGTTGAGCACTGGACATTGGCTGGGGGAAGGGTGGATGGGTGTCAGGGTCTGCTGCTTTCAGCAACTGCATTGCTTCAGCTGTAGATTTAGCCATTGAACTTTTGAAGTCCCAAACTCCAGTCAGACCAGAGTCCATTGGAAGCCTAGTTCTTAAGTGGTCTTGGTGTTCTTGGCTTATTACAGACCTAAAGAGAATATAATTATGTTTTGAGATGCATGGCTTCTTTTAGGGCCTGTAGCCAGAGGGCCAAATCAGCAGACCAGTCATTTGTACCATATAATGATTATTTGTTTGACTTCAAAGTATTGGAGGCATATAAAATTTGGAAGACTTCATGTAAACATCCATATTTCTGGCTTCTTCTGAAAAAAAATTAAGATAAGGAAACACTGGGGCCAGTTCCCCACACACCACAGTGGTTTGGAGCTGAGAAACAGCTCCTGTGTTTAGTTGGTGAAAATACATGTGAGATGCCACAGTTCCTGCCACTCCCTAGTGCCCAATACCTCATCCACATTACTCATTCACATTACCTGCCTTCTCCTGTGGAGATGGCTATTCTATAAACCCTTGGAATTTTCTCCATATCAAAGAGTTGTAATCTTTTCTTTGGGTCTTTTGAGAACATGATGAAAGCTTTGGACTCTCTCCCAAGAAAAATTTTCGAAGTTGTACATATGTACTGTATTTTGCATGCAGTTGCAGAAAGGTTCATAAATTACTTTGTGATTGATACTTACATCTATGGAGGAAGGTATGAAAAGTTGATCCAGATTAGGCAGCAAATCCAAAACCCATGCAGTGAGCCAGATTTTATAAGAAAAGGTAACAATACTCTGTGAATATACTAGTTGGATAATATTAGATGTTGAAAATATGTATTTGGCATTTGATAACAAGTAAGATTTTTGCAGTCTGTTTTGGGTGCTAGCTCAGCCTTGCAAATAATCTAGGAAAATAATTTGCATTCCACTTGCATGGCCAAGCTGCTTTTTGAAGGTGTAGCACAGATCTGGAAATTTTTACACTTTTCTCTCACAAATCCCCACAGTTAAACATTACCCATCCTTTTGACATAAAGTGATAAAATGGTCAAAGATTCAAAGGACATGAACAAAGCAGGAATGAGTACAATGATGATAATTTGTTTTTTAAGTTTTCAGATTAAAAGGAAAAAATAGTAACAGTACTAGGCAAGGTTATGGGAAAACAGGCTCAATCACTCTTTCAGTTACTGTATAATTTGAACAAACTTTTTTGGGGGGAAGTTTGGAACATGTTCTGATCTTTCCACCTTGCATTTCTATTCTGATGAATTTAACATAAATCATCAGAGATAGGTTCAAAGATTTAGGTACAAGGGTGTTCATGGTAATATTTGTTTGTATAATGGTGATAAATTATAAGCAATCTGAATGTATGTTATACCCAGAAGTTAGGATTCTATGGACCTATTAAAAACTTTGTTTTGGAAACATATTTAATGAAGGTGGAAAATGTTCCTGTTATATAAAGTAGGAGGATAAAATAAATTAGATAAGATATTGTGTACAATCCAAATTTTATTAAAATTTATATACATTTTTAAAAGTTAGGACCAAAACCAAATGGCTAACAATGATTAGATTCAGTTAGTAAGAAAAAATGATCACTGAGCTTTCCTTTATGTTTTCAAGGCAAACACACCTTATTTTTGTGTTTTTTTGTTTTGTATTTTCTTTCTTCTTTTTTCCTTCCTTCCCTGCCCTCCCTTTCTTTCCTTCTTCCTTCTTCCCTTCATTCCTTCCGGAAGAAGTAGGTGGGGTGGATTCTGCTCCGTACCCCTCCAGCCTTGCCTCTGGCAGTCTCCCTGCCCTCTGCTCCCCAGCTCTGCCCCCCGCCCCTGAGCTCACACCTTTACCTGGTGTGTGGTCCTTCCCCCAGACCCTGCAGTGACCCTCGGCCTCCCAACCCACACAGAGCCAGGAGGGTGAAGCAGAAGATGGCTGTGGAAAATATACAGGAAGAGCAGCTTTCAAGTTTCAAAAGCCTTTATAAATCCAGCAGATCAAGAGCTTATTTCATACATTTATTAGGACAAAGGAGAATACATGTTGGAAGCAGGGGAGAGCTGAGTGAGTGCCCTAAGGATACATAAATTAGTGGCAAAGAGGAATAATCTGTACTTACGCATAATGTTGCCAAATTAACAAAGTAACAAAACCTCTGCCATCAAAGCCTCTGCTAACATAAAACTACTTTATAGCTTTTTTTTTAAACAGGGAGAATCTCTTCATGTGATAAGCCATCACTTTAATCAAGGAAATTTGAATATAGACTGGTTATTAGATGGTATCAAGAAATTTTTGAGGGACTTCCCCGGCAGTCCAGTGGTTAAGTCTCCGTGCTGCCAATGGAGGGGCCTCGGGTACGATCCCTGGTCTGGGAACTAATCTCTCGTGCTGTGTGGTGTGGCCAAAAATAAATAAATAAATGAAAGGTTTTAATTTAACAGAGAGCTTGTTATTCATAATTACAAATAAAATATTTTAAAAAATTGTTGATAGTGCTGATAGTGGCATTTAATTATGTAAGAAACTGATCTTTTTAAAAAAGTGTATAGAATTATGTAGGGATGGAGATGACATAATACCTGGAATTTGCTTTAACACACACAGAGAAGGCACAATGGACATAATCTCAAGGCATTTTTAGAGGCAGATAGTTTAGGCAGTAGTAGAATCCTACCCTTGATTGACATCCTGAAGGACACACCCATGCCACATGCAGAATATCTGCATTTAGACCCCATGAGCACTAAGGTCTGTAAGCTGTATTTGTATTCTACCGCCAGTGAAATAGCAGGGGAAATGGCTTGTGAACCTGCCTGAGAAGTGTGGCTCTGGAAATCCTGGCCCAGGTCTTATCAGCCAGTGAGTTTAAATTTAGGTCACATTTTCTTTAATACCCAAATTACAGTGACGGAAGCTGCCAGCACAGGAATGAAACGACTCCTTGGCTCCTGTTCCGAGAGATTCCCCAAGCATCCCCACAGGAAGCTGTCTTACTCCCCTGGTGCAGAAGCTGGAATGACAACAATCTGATCTCACCTCCAGGGGCAGAGGTTTTCCGTTTGGGGTTTAGCTAAGGCTTAGAGATAAACAGCATTTATTAAGACTTAAATACAAATGGTATTTATCAGAATATATGTGTGAATAGATTTCCCTACAAGCAAGAATCTGGAAGGTTTTTTTGTAAAGGGCCAGATAAGTGAATATTGAAGACTTTTTGAGCCATATGGTCCCTGTCCAAATCTCCAACTGGGTATCACAGAAAGGCAGCAACAGACAATATGTCAGTGATTGGGCCTGGGTGCATTGCCAATAAAACATTTATTTACAAAAAAAATTAAAAAAGAATAGGAGGCCAGCTGGCAGCTGAACTCTGGCAAAATAAAAGATAAGACTAGATTTGAACTCTCAAGATACCATAATTGAGCTGGAATCTGAGTGACAAACCAATATCCGGAGAAAATGCTACTCATACCAAGCGGTGAGTGTAAATGCCCAGAAGAGACACTGAAGAATGGAGGATGGAGCAGATAAAGTGACATCTCAAGGTATTTGGAGGCCCCCCGTTTTTAAATTCAGATTTTGCAGGTGACATCCTTATGCTATTTAGGCTGGGGAGGGCATTGTTTTTAAGACTACAAATTCATTTACTCCTAAGTGGCTATGTCCTGGGAAGCCATCCGCACCTCCAGTAGAAAGAATCATGCCATGTGCCTCCCTGAAACAGGTTCAGTTTAATTCAGCAAACACTGGTTAACCGGGTGAAAACAAGCTAATCCTGTGAGGGACTGATGTTTCCTCCATCCCCCTGGTCATGGACCTCAGGTCTTCTGCTGGTCCATGAGTCCCTTGTTGGCAAGAAGGTATAAGAGGTGAAGACGCACATATCATTTGGCCGTATGGCTTGCTATTAGGTAGCTAAGAGCATCCACTGTCAACTTCAGCTATGGGGGAAAGTATGCTTGCTTTTGTTGAAACATTGGTTTTTATTTGTTTTTAATATAGTTCAGTCTCTACGAAAACTGCCAATTCAAGATGATTATAAATTTAAAACTT